TAGAATAGAATAGAATAGAATAGAATAGAATAGAATAGAATAGAATAATGAATGGAATGGGAATAGAATAAATAGAATAGAATAGAATGGAATGGGAATAGAATAGAATAGAATAGAATAGAATAGAATAGAATAGAATAGTGAATGGAATGGAATGGGAATAGAATTCTTTTATTGGCCAAGTGTGATTGGACACACAAGGAATTTGTCGGTTCAAATGCTGTAAGTGTACTTAAAACAAAAGATACATTCGTCAAGAATCATAAGGTACAACACTTAATAGTCATAGGGTACAATAAGCAATGAAATCATACTAGGAAACAGCGAATATAATGATACAAGGGACAAAGTTACAGGGATACAGTCACAAGTGGGTGGGGATGGGTGATAAGGAGTGATGGGAAGATTAACAGTAATAGTAGTGCAGACTTAGTTAATATTTGGACAGTGTTGAGGGAAGGCAGATTGGTAATTGTTTCTTCTGCAGTCCTAATTACTCTCTAAAGTCTTTGCTTGTCCTGTTGGGTTGCAGAACCAAACCAGACAGTTATAGAGGTGCAGATGACAGGCTCAATAATTCCTCTGTAGAACTGGATCAGCAGCTCCTTGGGCAGTTTGAGCTTTCTGAGTTGGCACAGAAACAACATTCTTTGTTGTGCTTTTTTGATGACGTTTTTGATGTTAGGTGTCCATTTTAGGATTTAATATTCTTTTCATCCTTACTAGTCCCTATCTCTTCCCACTTACGGCTATATTCATGTTGCTTATATCTTTACAACTTATATCGTTTTTATTGTTTCCTAGTATGATTTGATTGCTTATTAGTATCCTATGACTATCACTAAGTGTTGTATCTTATGATTCTTGACGAATATTCTTTATTTTGTTTATGTACACTGAGAGCATTTGCACCAAGACAAATTCCTTGTGTGTCCAATCATACTTGGCCAATAAGGAATGCTATTCTATTCTAAAACAGACCAGCAGGCCAGCCTCCTTCGTTCAGCCCTGCTCTGAGAGTGGAAGAAGAGACAATGGGCTTCCCTGTCAGCTCTACCCCGACCCCCCATGGGCCTCCTTGACTCTGGCAGGCGGGATGCTCCTCTCCTCCTGCTCCTTACTTCAGAGAGGTGTGAAGCAGAGCTCCAACCCCCAACTGGAGGCTCTCTTTCTCGGAGGGCCTTGGGCTGCCACTCTTCTCCCCCCAGGGTCATTCTTGATGCACACTGGGGGTAAAGGACCCATCTTGCATGCCAAAGACCCGGCTCTTTCTGAAACAAAGCAAGCATCTCCCACTCCCAGTTAGCCAGAACTACTTTAAGTATCCATCTGATGGCTCTTTAGCAATTCAAAAGAGGCCAAGGAAGGGGGCTTATTCCAGCCCCATAAGAGGAAGACCACTAAACCAGCCCACTGTCCCTTAGCAACACTCGCTTATCCTTTGACTGAACACGGTGCCCCAGAATGCTCTGGCAGGACCCAAACAACACAGCCAGAAGAATCCTGAGCATTCACACGTTTTATGCAAACTGAGCGAGAAAGGATCAACAGAGTGTCTCATCCAATAAAATGACTCGCTTTTATTCCCTGCTCCCCACGTGCAGTTGGCTCCCTTCCTCTGTGTGTGGAGGCAAAGGGGAGCACGGGAGCCCCAGCGGCAATAGGTCCTGCCAGTCCTCTTCCAGCCTTCTCCATCTGCAGGCAAAGCCATCAAGCTAACCCAACAGTCTAGGATTTGTCTGACTGGCCATCATTCTCCTGGAGTGCAGAGCTGATTCTAGAGCCCAGGACGGAAGGCAGATTCCCACTCCGCCCAAACTCAAGGATGAGTGGCTTCCCCAGCAGGAGAAACCCGTTGAGCAGCTCCAAAGCTTCCTGAGCCTGGGACACGGCTGGCCAGAGAAGAAGGCTTAGTGGAGGAGGGGGGAAGAGACCGGCCCTCCCCCAGAGGCCAGGTACTTACTGGGAAAGGTGAGGAAGGCCTGGCCTCTCATGCGGCCGCTCAGCAGGCGCAAACGAAGAGGGGGCGCATCCTTCTCTTGGAAGCGGGAGAACAAGGGCAGCAGGTCCTTCACTGTAGCGTTGCGACTCAGATTCTTCATGTACAGCACCTAACACCCCCCCCCCCCCGAAATGGATCAGCCTAGGTGCCTGCCGCAGCCCCCGGCACCTCCCCAGTACAGGAGCTGCTTGCACTACCGGCCTGCTAAGAGGGGAGAGGACAAGAGGCCCCTCCTTTCTCTGCCAAGACTACCCAGGCCGAGGGCCGCTATATTCTTCTCCCCCGCAGGCTCCCCAGGCTCTGTTAGGAACCCCCCCCCCCCCTTTTGAACAAGGGGCCGTTTCAGGCAGGTTTTGCCTGGTTCTGTGCTTTACAGACAGACAAACCCTCTCCCTCTGTGGGGAAGCTGCTCAATGGCCCGGGCACCAAGCCGAGCACCTCTTGACACAAGAAGCTGAGCAACTGGACTCTCCCAGAGAAGAGCAAAGCATTCCTGAGCGCAGCCCAGCCTGCCTGGCGAGTACCTTGCTTGGCTCCCCTGGGCTATAGGAGGAAAATCTGGGGATCCGGCGGATTTCTTCCCTGGAAAGGCGGCTCCGGAGAATCTCCTCTTCTGGCACACACGCTACAGGCTCCGTCACCATCACAGGCTCCACAGCTGGTGCAGCTGCTGCTCCAAGGCTGCTGAAGGGGGCAGAGCAAGATGAACCAGGTGCCTTCTGGGAAGACTTTAGTGGTTCCAGTGGCCTCTGGCTTGGCAAGGGTTCGCTCAGGAGCTGCTGATAAACCGCGTCCAGCTGAGACGTTGGGCCCATCTCAGAAGCCACCTTTGGCTGAGCTTCATCTGGAGCACAAGAGGCAAAGGCAACAACGCCTGACCTGTCAGCCTGGGAACACAGGAACCAGCCCCCCACCTGGCACAGCCCGGGCAGGTGTACCTGGGCGATACAACATCCGCAGAAAGGGATGGCGGTCTGCTCCCTGGAAAAGGGCGTTCTCAATCTCCATCTCACGCCTGCTGAGTGACTTGCTGCCCGCAAAGTGCTGCGGCAGGGAGAGGATGCGCTGGCGCTCCGCAATCTTTTCCTGGATGGCTCGGATCCTGTCCCGAGTGGCCTCCGGCGCTGCCCCAAGCCCAGGGCCCTTAGGCAAAGAGCGGGGTGAGGTGGCGGGGAGTCGGAAGGCCGCCTTCCCCTCGGCCAGGCAGCCACGCAGACGGACCGGCAGGGCAGCCCTGAAGGCGGGGCCGCCACGGCACCCGGGCCGCCTCCCCCGCAGCCCCCAGCCGGCTACCTTCTGGGCCCGCTGCCTCCACAGGCGGATCTCGGCGTCGGAGAGGCCCAGCTCCTGCAGGGAGGCCGCTTCCCCGCTGCTCTCCTGCAGGGCCCGGAACTCCGGCAGAGTGCGGGCGCCCGCGGCTTCCTCCCCGAAGGGCCGGTACACGGCCGCCGGCGCGAAGCGGTGCCGCTTGGCCACACACCTGCGCGAGAACGCCCGTTACCTCCCGCGGCCTGGTCCGCGGCGCCAAGGTCCTCCAGTCGGGCCCCCGGCGCTCTCGGCTGTGGGGGGGTCCCTGGCGAGCCCCTCCCGCCGCCACTCACTGCTCGAGCGACGCCGCCGTGTCCAGCTGGTGGCGCAGCAGCCGCTTCAGCTGCCTCTCGCCCTCCGTCTCCAGCTCCTCCGCCGCTGCCGCCGCCTCCCCGCCGCCGCACCTGCGGAAGAGACGAGGCGAGGCACCGGCAGCTCCCGGCGCCCCGTCCCCCCTGCCCCGGGCTCCGCCCCCCCCGTCCCCCTGCGCCCCGCTCACCTCCTCATCGCCGCGGCCTGGGGCTTCCGGGGTGCCGCGCGGGCTGCCGGGAGGGTCCCATTGGCCGGCGCCCCCCTCCCCGGGGCCCGCCCCCCTTCCGCGTCCTACGAGGCCCCCTGGCGGTTGGCCGGCGATGGCTCAGCAACAGAGACGCGTTTGGAAAGACTCTCTTTATTGAGGGGTACAAAAACAAACGGGGGGGGGGAAGGGAGGCAGGGGCGCGCGCTCAGTCGAAGGTGATGCGGAAGCTGCGCTCCTGCTCCTTGCGGCGGCTCTCGCAGACCTTGCTCATCTCCTCCACTTTCCTCTGCAGCAGAGCTGTGGACAGATGGAGAATGAGAGTGGGAGGGGGCTTCCACTCCCACTAGGGCAGTAAGATGGGCACCCCAAGAGGGAAAAGGGGAAGTCCAGAAAGGCGCAGCTGCCAGATCTGACTGGGGGGAGGGGGGAGAGGGTAATCCTGTACTGAAACACCTCCCGGACCATGACACTACGCCTAGCTGTAAAAGGGGGACTGCCCCAGATTTCAGAATTAAATACCGGAGTTCTGATCAATCCACTGCAAAGAATCCATGTGTGCATTCAGAATTTTGCAGATCTGCTGAAGCTGTGAGGGGGGAGAGAGGGGAGAAAACCCACATTCTGGTGAGGAAATGGCTCCCATGCCTCCATGCCAACCAAAGACAGGAGCTTCTTCCTTCCCACTTACATATTTCTCAGCAAGGGGAAGCTGAAGTATTAGCTCCATCAGACCTCATGATTCAAAGCACAAAAATGAAGCCCCCCCCCCCCCCCCCCCCAAAAAAAGGGTACTCACAGGGTCACTATTGTCAGCAGGGCCCCCAGAGGTGTTCAGGTGTTCAATAATATCTTTCAGATCTTGGGCCATGCGCTTCAGCTGAGCATCGATGTTCTCTGCCAGTTTGTATCTGCAGCACAAGAGCAAACTTGCAGCACAAGCTTGTATCTGCAGCACCAGAGCGAAGGACACACAGAGGCAAAGAGCTTTACAGCGGTGCCTCTGCCTCCTACAGAATAGGCAACAGGGTGAGGAGCATCAGAAGAAACCCAGCTGGAGGGACCGTAACACTCAACCCTGAGGAAAAGGACCTTTGGCTATAGGATGTCAGCAGATGGGCACACAAACGCCCCTTTGCTGAAGCCTCTAACATTCCCCTACTAAGATTGTCAGCCATGCAGGTACAAAGACAGCCAGGGAAATGACTAAAGCCTAGGAAACAGGCCCCTTGTCAGTAAACACAAGTGCTGATTTACCATCAGCTTATCAGGTGCTTAGGAGCCAAAGACTTGGCAGCACAAGGAAACAACAGTCAACTGCCAGCCATCAACATGCCAAATCAGCCAAAACAGGAAGGTGCCACATAAATACAAATAGCCCAAAGCATGTATTCCAGTGGAGAGAAGCTCCCCGAGGATGGGATCCAGCAGTTTGAAAGTGACTGACCCACACTGGATTCCCACTACCGTTCAAAGAAGACCAAGGGACAGTAGGAGGCCAGCCAACTGATCCCTCCAGGAGAAGCGAGACAGCCTGCCTTCAGGGATGCTCACGTCTTTTCCCGCTCCTCATCTGCATGTTGCAAATAGATTGTTCCACTCTGCTCCTTCACAGATTCCTCCAATGGTATCAACAAGTCTTCTAGCTCCTTTTGCTGAGACAAAATGAAGTCCAGCTCTTGGTCCAGCCTATAAGGGAAGGGAGGAAGGGAAGGAACACAGCATGCTAAAGTGCCTTTGAACCGACCGGTGCTGCATAGGCTGACAAGGAGAGGTTCACAAAGTCTTGCTCGGCCTCTTGAAGATGGTATCCCCTTTCTCCCAAAGCAGCCAGTAGGGACAGCCCTCCCCTTTGCTCCAAGGCCACTTCTAGTCTTTTTAAGGCCCAATCCCTTACCTCTTTTGATCCAGTTTCACTTTCTCTACTTCTCTGTGTAAGGTTGTGATCTGTGTCGGAGGGAGGGAGAGATGCAGTTCTTTCTTTCCATGACAGAATCTGCCTTGCCAAACACCAGAGCTAGGCAGCCCCCTCCTACCTTTTCTCCATTTTCAATCAAGGTCCTGTCCCAAGCGTTGACCTGGGTAGCCTGCTGAAGGAAGTGCTTCTCCTGGTCCTCCAGTTCCAGGCTCCATTTGTTAATCAGGCTCTCCAGCTGGGCATAAGTCATCACGGGGGGAGTCCTGGACAGAAGATGGAAAATCCCAGCCTGCTATCAGTCTCTTTGCAGGGGAGGGGTGCTCCTTGCCAGGCATCTCCACGGAGCACTTGCAAAACCCATTGCAACTGAAGCTCTTTCCACGCAACTCACATGCCAGTTGTGGTGGTTGCAGTGGAGGTGGAAGCAGCCACGCTTGTTGTGGCAAGGGGCTTCAGGTTCAAGAGGAATCCTGCAGCAGGTATGGAAGCAGCCCCTGGAAAGAAAGTCACCTGGCATCAGCTGTGACCAACAGCAGGGTGTGCCCCTGGAGAAGAAAAACTTTTGATTCCCACCACCGAGCCTAAAAGCCACTGTGGCCCCAGAGGTGTTTCCCATTCTTGACCCCGCTTCACCCAGGCCTCTAGCTCTGCATGTCCCCTGGGCAGCAGAGCAGGGAAGGCTCTGCTCTGGCGCCCCTGGATTCAGCTGAGCCCGGTTTTGCCCTGCAGCAGCAGCAGCAGCAGCAGCAGCAGCAGCAGCCCCTTGTCTCCTACTGGTGTTTCACCCTGATCCTGGTTTCCTTTTGTAAACTGACGATGGCTTGCCTTAGAAAAGGAAGTTTTAGGCATATACACACCATGCCCCAAACAAGCCAGGTGGTCAAGCCTGCCAGAAAGACCCCTTTAAAGAGCCTCAGTGCCCAAAAGGACACTTCTTTCCTTCATCCTATTTCTATAACCGGTGCTCACCAGCTGTGGGGAGGGTGGCAGCAGCTGCTGTGGTCACTCCAGGCATTTTTGAGCCAAATCCCAAGGTCCCAGTGGGAGCTGCCCCTGTCGAGGAGGTACCCACTGCAGAAGAAAGTGACAAATGTTGCTAAGCAAACAAGGATTTTTTTTTAAAAAAAGCTGAATCATATATTGAAAAATGCTACGATCGTTTCTGTCAGACAAAAACAGGCAAAGCGCACAAATTTCTGGCCTGAAGGGAGATCAAGTTCCCAAACCTCTAACTACCCTCTGCTCTCTCCGTTGAGCAAAGGCTGTAAGGCAAAGACAGGCTCCGGCTGGCCCTGCCTCCCCAGCCAAGTCACCTGAAAGGCTAGTGGTGGTACAGGCAGCTGGAGCTGAAGAGCCTGCTACAGATGCAAACAGCGTGGGCCCTGATAGGCCGAGGAGGGAAGAGGAAGTTGTAGTAGCAAGGGCCACCGATGTGACCGTGGTACCTGCGGAAGAGGACAAGGAGCTGGGTGAGAACAATGAGCAGCTTCTAGAAATGCACAATTTTCTGTGCCTCTTAAGGCCAAATATCATTTCATTCATTCTATCTATCTAGAGACAATGCCTAAAGTGAGTGCAATCCTATCGATAAACCACACACAGCAGACATTCTTGTAGCATCTCCTTTCAACTGTTACAAGGGAATTTAGCACTGCTGCTGAACTACTTTGGTGCCATAATGAAAGATTTCAAATATGGGAATCTTTGATATGGGACGGACCGACGGACGGACAGGGACACACACACACACACACACACACACACACACACACACACACAGAAAAGGCCTATAAAAGAATTGTTGCAATTGAGAAATGAGAATTGCTGGAAAAATACATGAAAGAAAAATATATTTTTCAGAACACATATTTGCCAAATAAATCATTCCAGGAAAAGATCACCATTCTGTGCTCCACTGGACAGACCACACCGGGAATAGTTCTGTCAATCCTGGTCACCAAAATACAAACAGCATGCTGAGGAACCAGAAAGAGCACAGGGAAAAGCAACAATGATGGTAAAAGACTTGGAAGCTAAACCTTAAATACAGCAATTGAAAGAAGTACATTTAACCCAAAGAAGAGAAAGCCAAGAAAAAATATAGTGGCAGCCTTCCAATACTTGAAAATCTGCCCAGGGCAAATGTTTATTCTCCATAGCAGCTGAAGGGGAAGTTTAAAGAAAAGACTGAAACACCCTTTGGGCCCTGGGCAGGAGGTGGAGCTCTGAAGCAGAAAGAACAAAAACAGGCAAGATTGTAGAAAGAGCGGTCAGCATGCAGACTATGATGCTGAAAGGGATTAAGCACCAGGAAATAGTATCTAACCAGGATATTTTTAAAAAACAGCAGGCAAGTCTGCACGGTGGGCAGGCTCCAGCAAGCTCTTCAGTTCCCGGGCACAAAACATACCTCCAGGTTTAGCCCCAAAGGACAAGGGTGTGGTGGTGGAAGTGACCGCTGCTGGAGCCAACACTCCAAAGCCAGAACCTGCAAGGAGAAGAGAAGCCCATCAGCTTCCTGCCTGTTTCCAGAAGGAGGGCCTCCCTGCAGCGCCCTCAGGCAAAGGGGCCCCTTCCAATCCCTCTCCGTGGCCTCGCACACGCAGCAAGGCACTCTGGTCTTACACAACCCGAGTCGGGAGGGCCGCTAAAGGCTCGGGCTGCCCTGCCCTCTCACCGGTGGACGCTGTCCCGAGGCTGAAGGCCGGGGCTGCCTGCGATGCGGCTGTTGTGCTCACAGCGGCGTTGGCGGAGACCGGAGCAATTCCGAAGGTCGAGCCGGGAGGCGCTGTTTGCGGCGGGACGCTCCCCAGCGAGCCGAGGCTGAAATTCGGAGCTCCTGTCTGGGCCACCCCGCCAAAGCTGAAGCCTCCCACGACGGCGGGGGCAGCCGGAGCCGGCTGTGGCGTCGTCGTGGCCGCCGAGCCAAACACGAACCCCGCGGGTGGAGTAGTAGTCGTCGTCGTCGCCGCCGCCGCCGCCACCTGGGTGCCCGACACGCTAGTGCCGCTCGCGCCGGAGCCGCCCAGTCCGCCGCTACTGCCCAGCCCGAAGCCGCTGGTCGCGGGGGAGGCCGTCGTAGCGCCCGAGCCCCCCAAGCTCAGCTT